GGGGGGCTCTGGCTGTGGTGAGGGGGGCTCTGGGTGCTGTGAGTGTGAGGGGCCCTGGCTGCAGTGAGGGGGGCTCCCTCTCTGGGTTCCACACCCCGCAGCTCAGTTTCTGCAGCTGCAGCAGCAAAAGGCCGATCACTGAATGTGCATGAACCGCCTGGGGCCGGTGCTGTCTCAGAGGCCTGGCCCGGGGAGGGGAGCCCAGCCTTGGGGTGCTTCTCTCCCAGTCAGCCATCACGCTGGCGTCAGCACTGGGCCCTCCTCAGAGGCAGGTCTGAGGCCCGATGACGCACGGGAAGCCGAGGGGAGGGCACGCTTCGCAGAAGCACTTTCTGGCCAGCACTCAGCGCCCAGCCCCCACCCAGGCACTGACGGCGCCATCGCAGGGACTCAGCGGGAAGCAGCGTCTCAAACCCTCCACGCAGGGCAGGAGGCAGCCTCCGTGCGAGCTCAGCCAGGGCGGACGGGAGAGCCCCTTCCAGGAGGGACAGGACCCGGCCCAGCAGGAACAGCCGCCCTGCCCTGGCCGGTTGCTCAGTGGGTAGCACATCGGTCTGTGGACTGAAGGGTCCTGGGTTCGATTCCTGGTCTAGGGCACACGCCCCGGTTGTGGGCTCGATCCCCAGTGGGGGGCGTGCAGGAGGCAGCCGATCCGTGATTCTCTCTCATCACTGATGTTACTCTCTCCCCACTCCCTCCCTCTCTGACATCAATAAATTAAAAAATAGAGCAAGCGACCCCTGAGCGTGGGCGGCTCTGGGCAGGTGACGGGCTCCCTCCTGGGAAGGGCCATGCTCTCCAGCCCCAACAAGGGGGCCACGGCCCTGCACAGTCAGGAACCAACGGCACCAGCCGACTGGGTCTGGGTTTTGGTCAGAAATGAACAAAGCACCCGGCTGGCGGGGCTCAGGGACTGAGCATCGGCCTGTGGACCAGGAGGTCGGGGTTCGATTCCCGGCCAGGGCACAGGCCCGGGTTGTGGGCTCCATCCCCCGTGCGGGGCGTGCGGGAGGCAGCTGATGGATGTTTCTCCTCACATCAATGTCTCTCTCCCTTCCTGTCTTTCTAAAATCAATAACAACATTATTTTTTTAAAAAAAGAAATGAGCAAAGCGAGCTGCAAATCCCAGGAACCCAGACGCCGCCACCGGGACCCGAAGGTCACGGCGCACTCACCGTCTGCCCGGCCTCGCCGTCGTAATGAACAAAGCAAGCTGCAAATCCCAAGAACCCAGACGCTGTCACCGGGACCCCAAAGGTCATGGCGCACTCACCGTCTGCCCGGCCTCGCCGTCGTCCCCTTTGTCGCCAGGGGGGCCATCCTGGCCCTGTGGGGACGAAAGCAAGTTCCTTCAGCCTCCGGACGGCACCGCGTCCCGTCCCCCAAATCCAAGCCCACAGGGTGGGCGGGACACAGCGCGCTCAAAGCTGGGGACCGCGTCTGCACCTGACCCTGATGCAGGCCCCTTGGGAGGGCACCGTGCCCCACGGGGAGCTCACGACTAAGCCCCCAGAAAGAAAGCATGGGCTGCAGAGGCAGGTCAGCATCGGGGGGACGGATGGCTCAGGGCCTCAAACACCTACCGCGGGGCCGGGCTCTCCGGGGGGACCGGGATCTCCGGGGAAACCGACGGGGCCCTGAAACGGAGAAAGAGGAGCGTGCAGGCCCTCAGCCCTGGCTGAGCGCACCCTGCCCGC